GTTCCCGGGGAGCCCCGTCCCCTCGGTCACGTCCCCTATAGGACAGTCCTGGCCCCAGCCGCGTCCCCCAAGGACCCCCCAAGCTCCGCCAGGAGGGCTCGCGTCCCCTTGGCCACCTCCCGCCAGCAGAGGCCCGGTCCCCAAGCATGTCTCCCCGGGGGTCCAGGCCCCCTTGGCCACGTTCCCCCAGGAAGACCCCGGGCCCCAGCCATGATGTGTCTTGGTCCCCCCGGCTGCACGTCAAGGAGGGTCCCAGCCCGTCAGGGCTCAGCCGCTAGGGACTCTGCTGGGTACAGCCCCCAGCAGGGGTCCAGCCCCAGGCCATGGTGGCCACGGTCCCCCTCACCTGGACTACCCGGCGGACAGGGGGACGATGGGCCGGTGCGGCAGTGGTTCAGGGCACAAGGCCACGGACGAGGCATAGCCCTAGGCAGGGGAGAACAGTCTGTCCACCCCCTCCCCATCGGGCGCCGTTGGCCCTGGTTCTGATGCAACTTCTGTCAAAATGCCTGGAGCAAAGAACGGCAGCAGCTCCGTGGCGACTGGTGTGGGGGGGCCAGCCGAAGCCAGCGCAGCCTCCGGCCCTCCTCATCTCCACCAGCTTCCCAGAGCACACGAGGCCTGATGGGTTTTGCCATCTCCGCAGGCTACATGCGGCCCCTCCTTGGGAAAGGCAGCAGTCTGAGTCAGGAGAAAAAATGGATTTAAATTGTCCGCAAAATGTGTTCCTGCTTTGAGATGCTGAGGGCGTTTTTTTTTCCAAGAGCAAACAGGCTCTGACCCCTCCTGGGCATGTCGGTATCCTGAGAAGTGCCATGTCCTGCCTGCCAGTGGTGCGGACACAGCTGCCTTCCCCTGCCTCCTCCTGCTACCCCTCAGACAGGCACGTCCTTGGAGCCCTGGGTGCTGCATCACCCAGCTAGTCCTGGATGGGAGTCCCCAAAGTCTTGGGGCTGCTGGAGCTCTGACTTGGTGCCATGGATATGAAGGTAGCTCTGTTCCCCACTGCTCGTGTCCATGTAGTGGGTGAGGTCGTGCTGCAGGGAGGGTGCCGAGGTTTGGATACTGTGCTGCTCCAGCCAGCGTCAGGCAGGAGACCCTTGGGGACAGGGGACAGAAGCGCTCGCTGCACTCCCCTTGCTTTCCCCTGGCACCCCAGCAGGGCTGGCATTTCCCCATCCCAGGAAGGAGCTGAGCAGGCAGCCAGGCCTGCTCCAGGCCAGGGCGAGAGGTGTTTAGTGGAGAGGACACCGCCATTTGCCATAAGGAGCCCCGGGGGTAGCAGGGTGTTTGTATCTGCCAGGAGCAGGGAAGAAAAGCCTGGGTCATGCTGCTGGGGCAGGCCAACACTAGAGCTCAGGGCTGCTACCCCGCAGGCTGCCCCATCCGCTCAGCCAGGCAGTGGGGTCTTTGTCCCATGATTCTCTTCCTGGGCTGGTGCCAATAAGCCTCTTTTCCCCCTTGGGCTGGGGTGACAGTGCCACCATAGCAGAGGTCCCTGGCAGGGGAGGACTGAGGCACCCAGGTGCCACCATTGCTGACAGTGATGGCCCTTCTGCCCCACAGGTGATCATCGATTTGACCTGCGAGGACACAAGCGCAGACCCAGCACCACGGAGCAGCCTCACCATCATTGACCTGACAGAGGACACCTGCAGCCTTCCCCATGCCACCGATTCCGCTGACCAGGACCCAGGGCAGGAGCCTGCTGCCCCAGCAGCACACACATCCCATCCCCGGCTCTGCTCCAGCACAACACAAGAAACAGAGGCAACAGCGGGGCTGAGCCCTGCAGTACCCTGGCACGGTGCTCCCGTGGACCCCAGTGCCACCACGGACACAACAGAAAGTGCAGAGAACTGGAACTGCTTCTCTCCCGCCTCCAGCCATCACGGCTCCTCTTGCAGTCCGGAGCAGAACTGCAGCACCACCACTTTTAACAGTGACTTGGGCTCCCTGGCCAGCATGCAGCTGGACTCAGACCTACTGTCCCTGTCCCCCTCCAGCCTAGACAGCAGCAGCAGCTGCAGAGCCGGTGGCCCAGAGGAAGAGACTCCCCACCTCTGCCAGCAAAGAGAACTGCCCCCAAGGCTGAGCCCTGCCCCAGCCATCCCCACAACCCCAGGGAACGCCCGAGGGCCTTTGCTGAAAGCAGGTGACTTACTGCCACATGAAGCAATCCAGCAAGTGACCCCAGCCAGGACCAAGGCTGAACAAACTGCACAAACTGCCAGCAAGGCCTGGCTGAACAAACTGCACTATTTCAGGAGGAGCGGAGTCCAGCACCTCTTCCTCCAAGGCGTAACACCGAACAGGGAAACACAGCAGGTAAACAGGGTTCAGAGTGGCTGCTGCCAAGCCCAGACAGAGCCTGTTCAGAGCAGCCCCTGCAGTAGAGGGTGGAGCAGGGGCAGCCCCTGCTCCACTTCTCCTTTTGGGGAAAGCTTTGCCAGGCAGTTGGGATCTCTGGTTATTGCAGTTGCCTTCAGGGTGGGCCCCACATCACAACTGGGTTCCTCTGTGTTGGGGGAAGCTGGCTTTCATCCATTGCCTTGCCTTGCACACAGCAGAAACCTGAGCTCATCCCCAGCGGGAAGCTGAGCATGGTGCACACCACCATGGAGGAGAACTTCCTGGAGGGCACCTTGCATTTCCTGAGTGAGTTCGTCTCCCACCAGCACTGTCCACCCAAAGAAATCATCTCCCACCTCGTCAGACAGATCCTGTTGAACCCCCACCAAGGGGAGATCCTGAAGGACACCTACATGCTGCTGATGAAGATCCAAATGTACGTGTTCCCTCTGCCACTGTGCCTTGGGTCTGGCTAGGTGCTCCCGGGGGCCTGGACAGTGTAAATGTTATTCTCCATAGTTCTCACCTACAGAACAGGGAGCAATTTTCCCTATAACCCAGGATGATGCTCCTGTTATCAGCACAGGCACCCTCTGGGCTGTCTGAGAGTAGGTCAGGACCACTGCTGGCCCAGACAGCAGCCGCTAAACCCCCAAGCAGATGGAGGATGGGGGTGGGGAAGCGAGGCAGGGGAAGCTGAGGCAAGAGGGAAAGCAGCTCCAACTATATCATGAGTGTGCTTTAATAATTTAGTAGCAAGCCCGCACAGCGCAGGGGTGGCTTTTGACACCAGTGAGCCCTCTAGGACAGAGGAGTGTGTTTGCCTTGCTTCTGAAGAGCAGATCTCATTCTTCACTGCTGTGACATGGCAGGAATGGCTTCCATGGGCTGCAGCAGGGATCCTGGGCTGGCGGTGGCTAGA